CTTAGAAGTTAGCCTGCAGTCCTTTGAAACCTAGTGGACTTTTACACGTCTTGCTTTTAGAGTGCTCTTTGTTGGTGGAGCGCTCCTGGGGAGGGTAACAGTGGTCTAGAATTTCCTCCATTTGTATACAGTCTGTCTGACCGTGGATTGGTGGAGTCCAAACTCTTTAAAGATGGCTTTGAAAACTTTTCTAGCCTGATGAGCAACATCAACTCTTTTTCCGAGGTCCTCAGAGATCTCATTTGTTTGTGCCATAATACACTTCCACAAACATGACAAACTTTGATAGATCCCTGTTCTTTAAATAAAACAGGGCACACACTGACACCTGATAGTCATCTCACTGATTAAAAACACCTCTGAACAGATGGACTCTAATTTCACCTTCAAATGAACAGCTAATCCTAGAGATTCACATACTTTTGCCGCTCACAGATATGTAATATTGGACCATTTTCCTGAATAAATAAATGACACAGTATATATTTTCATGTGATATGATAAAAATATTAAGAACACACTGTTTACTAAATTAAAAAATCAACAGCACCTGTAAAACAAACAAACAAACAAACAATCTGTGAGAACTGTGACTGTGTAGTATTTAGCATTAAGCTCCAATTATGTGATATGCAAAACTATTTTAAAATTAATTCTGAGAGAGAATGCAGAATTACACAATCCAAAAATAAAATTTCCAGACTGTAACTCAGGTAAATAATGAGTAAACAAATAATGACCCAGAAGCAGTTTAAAAATGGGAAATGAACAGTTCAAGATGTTCAAGGCTTTTGGAAACAAGTAAATGTATTAATGCAGGCGCCCAAGAATAAACTTTCTCTGCAGCACTACATTTCTGACTGAAGATTTGAGAGAACTAGCAATCAAATTATACATGAGAATTGTATAATGTTAATTGCAGCGCTTTAGGTATGTATGTGTGTGTGTGTGTGTGTGTGTGTGTGTAAACGGCAGTCTTGTGAGCCTCACAGCCTCTCAGTAATGGATTAAATGAAACAAAAACCCTGCAAAAACAGAATTTTTTGAGAATAAAGACACACATACTGTAAGAAAGGCATACATGTAAATCTAAGTAATGCACCTCAAATGCAGATAACTATGCAACTGCTTGAATGGGCATGATGTTTCTGGTCAGGTTGGCTCAGTAGATCTCATTAGCTGGTTCAGTTTGGTCTACAACTTACTGCCGGTGCAGATCTGTGCTCTCAAACTACTCCTGAAACAATGTTGTGACCTGACCGCTTCAGTTTAATGCTAATGATAATGACAATAACAGTAATATGTTGATGATGATTATAATGACTCACTAGTGCAGGGCATGTCTGGCTGCTCTCCGTCTGCTCTGTAGTAGCCATTCCTGCAGACACAGATAGTGGCGGCTTCAGATGTGGACCTGCTGTTGGACGGACACTGAAGACACAAACCCGTCCCTTGACTGGACTTGAACGTTCCTGGAGGACAAGCTAAAGAGAGAGAGAAAGCTCTTGTTAGTGAGCTATTTTGTTAACCTCGTCTACACTTGTGAATTACACCTCATACCTTCAAAAAAACATCTTCAAAATCTGTAGACCATTTCATCTGGAATAGTTGGAAATATTTTACACTTGCAGCTCTCATGGTTAAACTTGTAGATGAACTTAGCTTTCTTGTTACAGAGAGCTGCAAAACACCTTCATAATACCTTCTTTCTCATCCAGTAAATATCATAACCTTGTGTTTAACGGATCTGGACAAGAGCTGACAGTCTTTTTTTGTAATATGGTGACTACTGGAACAACATTAGAAGCTTCAGATGTGAGAAATTCAAATGCTCCTCTATTAACAAGTGATACACCACAATTCGAACATGCTATTTTTTGCAATGCATTGCTAGCACAAGTGTTTGAAGGATTCCGTATCAGTTTACGTCAGACAAAAACTTTGTGTTCATGAGAGTAAAGCATGCTTTTGTTCTTATTTGAGAGCAAGGTGAGACATTTTTCTGTTTGCGAAGCCTGTTTCAAGTGAAATGAGTGAAACGGAGTGCTCCCAAGACACAGTAGCCAACCTGATGTCAGCAAAAGCAACAAGAAAAAGGCTTCAAAAAGAGTGTTTTCTGAGTTTACGTCAGACAAAAACTTTGTGTTCATGAGAGTAAAGCATGCTTTTGTTCTTATTTGAGAGCAAGGTGAGACATTTTTCTGTTTGCGAAGCCTGTTTCAAGTGAAATGAGTGAAACAGAGTGCTCCCAAGACACAGTAGCCAACCTGATGTCAGCAAAAGCAACAAGAAAAAGGCTTGAAAAAGAGTGTTTTCTGATTGGATTTAGAGACACAAGCCGCTCCCCTGACTCTTTTTCCCCAGTTTACAGAGTCAAGGGAGATGTTCACACAAAGCACGTTTTTGCATTTTTCTACGTAAACATGTGCTAGATGGACTTTGACCATTGCATTTGCATTTTTGTCTTTTGCACAATAACAACATACAGTGGGTATAGAAAAGAATCACCCCCCTTTAAAATAATCACATTTTGCTGCTTTGCAGCCTGAAATGAAAAAGGACACCGTTTTTGTTTTATCCAGCTGAATTTACACAGTGCCACTTCCAGTGGTGGAGGTAACGAATTACAACTACTCACGTTACTGTAATTAAGTAGTTTTTTGAGTATATTTTTGAAGCTGTACTTTTACTTGTACTTAAGTACACATTAAGCAAAATAATCTACTTCGTTACTTTTAAATCATAGTTCGTTACTGAGTACGCCCACAATTTGAATTGATATTCAAACCTTTGACGGCCCTTCAGTAGCCAATAAAGATATCCGATCGTAAACGGACCAATAAAAGCCTTGATATCTGAACCGGGAAAAGTCGCCGCTTTTCCAAGCTGCGTCTCTCTCTCTCCTCTCCGACGGTGAGTTTGACACGCATCCGCCTCCTGTCAATTACAGAGTCTGAATGTCCGCGCGGGATTGCAGGTATTTTGCATAATTGTAATCATTCCCGCACAAATGTGGCGAGCGCTTTATTGTAATATGAGAACACAGTCATGTAATCGCAGAAAACTGGATGCGAGCTCTCAAATAGGCCTAACTTATACAAATTAACTGCCTGTCCTCTCACTCCGACATTGCTTGTGCGCAGACTGTGCAATCACGATCTCTCCGTGCATTTAAAGTAGAAATTATTTCACTTTGCTCATGGATTAAACTTTGTCAAAAGTTTAGAATAGATCAGAATAGATCCACGCCTGATCTATGAAAATCCTACTGGAAATTTTATTGGCTGTAAGTGAAATGCACTGGAATGTCTTTCAACAATCAAAGATGGAACTTTAATTTCTTTACAATGTAAGTTTATGCTAGAAATGTATCCTAGTCTGCCTAACTGCATCACTACATTGTACAGTCATTACAGGCCAAAGCCATCTGATGTTCCATTTATCTAAATAAAAAGGCCTAACATATATGGCTCTTAAATTCAGTGTTGTCATATTTCGGATACCTCAACAGAATCGAGGTGATTTGTTTTATAATTTTATTCCTGAATGTGTACTTTTTTGCCAATTCAATTCAGTTTGAAATCAAATTTGAAATCAAGATTCCTTGTGCTGTAAGCTTTTGCAACAAAGTTACCCTATTTTAAAGTCACAAATACACAGAATGAGCAAATGTTTAAGACTGAGATTTTTGTAATGGTAATTGATCAATGTTTATATGTATGTACATAAAAGCCTATATTAAAATCTGTTCATTATATAAAGCGACTGTGTCTTTTTAGAAGACTTGGTTAAAAAAACTATTTCAAAGCTTGAAATAATGATTGCCTTTTTTTTTTTAAATATTAAAATATCTATATGGCAGTATACAGTA